CTCTCTCTCTCTCTCAATAAATTAATATAAATGCGTCGTCCGACATAATTTAGTGGTGCAAAGAATTAGTGAGATTATCTCACGTATTGCTTGCAATCGTGGGATTCGATTTCCGAAACAGGAAATTAGACTCTGACGCAGTATATAGCCAGCTCTGGTTATAAATGCAATAAATATACACATATAAATCTCTGATTTGACTTCGAAAATCTCTAGCGAAAAGAAATTTGTATTGCCAGCGGTCAATTTGCTTCTATCTTTGGCTATAAATCTCATTCATTTTGTCATTGAAATTGTGATATATCCATTGGTCTAATGGCTGACGGAAAAATGGATCTTTCAGAGGATCTCTTCTCATCGAAACAGTCTGATCAATCGTGGAATTCAAAAGGTATTTGGCGGTGCGATTTATATTGGATTTTTAGTTTTAGCAATTTGATTGTTATGAATTGAATTGTGTCCTAATGTTATTTGATCTGACTGGTTTTAACTTTGAGATATTGCTTCAACTCCAACTTTAGGGTCCATCAGATTGGTTTGATGTCTTTAATTTAATTTTCACGATAAGAATGTTACGTTATACTACTTTTCATTTTCATCATACTCTGATATTTTTCCACCAGCCACATTAATCAAACTACAATTTTGAGTTCGACTGATCTTATCTGAGCGTGTGTTGGTCTTTAAACACACAGTGTTGTGATTCTGTTTTGTTAAAATGTGGCGGTGTGTCAGTTTAGTTTCCAGATTGACTGCAACTAAAACACACTCGCCTGTATTAATTTTGAATATAATAATATTTTTCTTGGCTTTTGATTGAAGATTCCATGGGAAATGAAGAGGGAAAGGGGCTGATGGGAATATTTGATGAATCAAAAGGTAACTAATACTCTTAAGCAAACTTTTCAGTATTGAATATTCCATGCTTGACGGTATATAAATATCCTCTATGGATGTCTGACTTTTATTTCATAGATCAAGGAGCGTGTGAGAACAGCATTCCTTTGTCTCCGCAATGGCTTTATGCTAAGCCAAGCGAGGCTAAGATGGTAAGTTTTGAGACACTTGTGCAGTGCACCTCCTTTAAATTACTTGAAAGGTGAATTTGCTTTTGTGGATTCTAGTTTGATTGGTTCCAGTTCTATCGCCATAATTCACGACTCTTTTTTGAAATCTATTCAGACTGACATGCTCGATCAAATCTACTGCAGTTTGGAAGAGTTTGTAATTGGATTCAGTTATGTTTGATTTCAATGCTATTCAAAATGCAAAATCAGACAGACTATTGTCTTACTTGAAACCTATCGACTTGTATTTCTAGAAGAAATCCTATCATTTGACATTGCAACTGCTGAATTTTCGTTTATTGCTTTGCAATGATCTGATAAGACAGATATTTGTTTTTATGATGACACAAGGAATGGTTGATTGTATCATTTGGAAAACTTTAACATGCTGTACTTTCCATAATATATCATATTATATTATATTATATTATATTATTTGTCTTTGCAGAGAAATACCTGGAGAGGTGTGGGAATAAACTAAATTTTTACTTTCGATAATGTTGACCTGTTATAATTGGTTATGCCCTGTAGATAGTATCATATAAAATGAACTTTAAAGTCAATGTGACTGTCTAGTCAGAACATCTATTTTTCCTTATCCTATTTAAGAATAATGGGTTTGGAACAGACTTATTTTGTTGTTTTATTTCTGTGGTGGTTTCCTTTTTTCCTACTTGTCGTAAATATGCACGTCGTGCCCATTCTTTCTTTTATTCAGGAAACACGTGGTCAAATTTCACTCTCTCTTAGCGGTCCTGATTGGAATCAGAAGGAAGGTTGGCGCTCAGATGCACCTGAGGACAAAAAAGATTGGAGAAGAGTTGCACCGGAAGCTGATAGTGCTCGTCGCTGGCGAGAAGAAGAAAGGGAAACTAGATTGATTGGTAGAAGAGATTGTAGGAAGATGGATCGACGTGTTGATGCCTCAGGCAGAGAAACAGTTGAGAATAGAGTGTTGCCTGCTCCTGAAAGGTGGCATGATGCCAACAGTCGTAACTCTTCCCTTGAAGTGAGTCGTGATAGCAAGTGGTCTACTAGGTGGGGTGCAGATGACAAAGAAAAGGAAGCTCGGATTGAGAAACGAGCAGAAGTGGAGAAGGAAGATGATCAGAATGGAAGTCAGTCAATCATGTCAAGTAGCAGATCTGTTTCTGAACGTGATGGAGATTCTCGGGACAAGTGGAGGCCACGCCATAGGATGGAGGTAAATTCTGGTGGTTCTGGTTCTCACCGTTCTGCGCCTGGTTTTGGACTTGAAAGGGGAAGACTAGAGGGTTTCAATGTGGGGTTTACGGTAGGACGTGGCAGATCTAGTGTATCCATTGTAAAGCCTCCATCTGGGGGACCAATTGGTGCTGCTCAATATGACAAAGGCAGAAGTGTTCCTGGAAAAACAAGTCTTTCTGATGGAAAGTTCTGTTATACTAGGGGGGAACTTCTTGACATATACCGTACGCAAAAGTTAGACCCCTCTTTTGCCAATATGGCTGACAATTTGGAGGAACTACCCCAACTAACTCAAGTAATTGCTGTTGAACCATTAGCTTTTGTTGCTCCCCATGCCGAGGAGGAGGTGAGATTTACAACTTTGCCTTTTAAATGAAAATTTTTAATGCTATTAAACTTGATTTTGAATAACACTCTGACAAACTCATCTGTATTTACAGGCCATCGTAAACGACATATGGAAAGGTAAAATAAGATGCAGCGGGGTGTCATACAATTCATTTAGGAAGGGTGAAACGTCGGATAATGTTTCAGGTGGTTATAGGTTTGACACTTCATTAGTTGCGATTTCAAATTCTCAAAAAAAAAATAAAAAAATTCATCTTTCCTTCTTTTTATTTTATTTTCTTTGGTGGTATTTGATTCTCTCTTGCTATTTGCATATATTTCTTTGTTACGAGTAGTGGAAAATGTGGAATCTGTCAGTGGAAAACAGGTCTTCCCTGAAGATATTACAGCAGAGAGGACAGATGACTTCTCAAAAGCTACACAGGACAATGTTCATGAACCTAGTGTGGATGACATTTTTTACAATTACTTACTTAAATCAGGTTTGTAAGATGTGGGAGTTATAGAATACTGTTTTAATATTGCCCAGAAAGAGTTTTATATTGATGACTTATGGAAGAGAACATTTTTATCTTGCTTCAGAAAAATCTGTTAATGATGATGGAAAACAAGAAGTTTATGAGTCAATCGGAACAGATTTCGATATCAGTGGCTTACAGGCTTTTAATGGTCATCTATCCGATGATTCGCAGCTCAAAGTTTCAGATTCTCCTGTTACCAAACGCTCTTTGTTTTATGGAGGTTCATCTGCTACATTGTTGGAAGTCAATAATAATATTCCTGATGTTTCAACATCACTCTTTGGTACTACATCTTCTGAGCAGTATTGGGATGGCAGCCACCATAAATTTGGTAGCAGAACTTCTGAAAATCAATTAGAAAGGAGAATCCTTCCTGAGGAATTAAGTCTATACTATCGTGATCCTCAAGGAGATATTCAGGGACCTTTCCTTGGAGTGGACATAATTTCATGGTTTGAACAAGGATTTTTTGGGACTGATTTGCCTGTACGCTTGGAAGATGCTCCTGATGATGCATCCTTCCGAGAATTGGGTGATATTATGCCACATTTGAAAATTAAACATGGATTTGATACTATTACTGATTTAAGTTCTGATATGGAAAAATCTGTTGCATTGGTGGGGAAATCAGAGGTCAGTTCAAATGTTTTTCCTGTTGCTTCTGTATCTGTTCCCTCTACTGCATTAGATGGTCCGAGTTGGCAGTTATCTGATTTTGCTGCTTCTCTTTTCAGCATGGTGAGTCAGAAGTACCTGAACATCATGGTCATCCATCAATAAGGTTGCATTCGCAGGGAAATTTCCACGACTTTGTTGCCAAAGATGAAGGTTTGGTTAACTTAAATCCTCTTTTGTTAATTCTGATGGCTGATTAAGTTCAATTGTATCTAATCCTCTTCACAGTTTTTTCCACTCCAACAGATGTTTTTCCAGAGAGACCTGAAAGTGGTGGCAATCCTGTTGGGAAAATTTCTAGGGGGTATGGTGAAACTTCTGCCTATATTGGTAACCAGCAGACTGTGTCTACTGAACTGACAGACTCTGGGGTCTCAACTAAGAAAGATAATAAGTTGCATACTCTTGGGTTGTTGTGGTCTGAACTTGAAAATACTTATGCAAAGAATGGTCAGACATCAAATGCTTTAGGTATTGGACATGTTGAGGATCAACATTTAAACCCTTTATCTGGAATAGTTGCCCCTTCTAGTTCAATGGCTGATTTCACTCGTGCCACAGAGATGCGGCCGGATGTTTGTGGCAGAAATACTATATCTGATCCCAAATTATTTTATGATGTCACGGAGGCTTGCCAGCGCATGGACCAAGACTATAGTCGCTTTGATTTAGACGACAAGCTTGTGTCCAAACAACTGCAGTATCATTATCATCAGCATCATCAGCATAGTTTGATACCTTTTCATAATACACAGCTGAATGAGGCAGTTCTAGAAAGAGTGCCAAGTCAGAGTGTGATACAACACCAACAGTTGGCCAATCAAACGGGGCAAGATCTGGAGCACTTTTTGGCCCTTCAGTTGCAGCAGCAGAGGCAATTGCAGTTTCAAGAACAGCAGTTCCATCAACAGCAAATGATCTTGAAAGAGCAACAACAGTCCCAGGCTAGACAGGTGCTTCTTGAACAGCTGCTGCAGAATCAAATTCGGGAGTCTGACCGAGGGCAGTCACGTATTGATGCTCTTAGATCGGACAGTGCTCTTGAACAGGCAATTTTGAAGCAGCAAATTCTCAATGACCTGCAACAGCATTCCCATTTTCCACCTAGGCATGCTGACTCATCCCTGGAGCAACTCATACAAGCAAAATTTAGGCAAATGCCCAATAAAGGGCATCCTGATGATTTATTGGAGCTGTTATCTAGTAGAAATTGTGGGCAGATTCATCCCTTGGATCCGCAGATTCTTCAGCTAGAGCAGCTGCATGGAAGATCTTTGCCAGTGGGGATAAGGCAGTCTTTCGAAATGGAAGAAGAAAGACTAGTTAATTCTGGGTGGCCTCTTGATGAAGCCAGTCAGTTCCTTAGAAATCCTGTAACTACTCATCAAGCTGGCACTGCTGGATTCAGCCCATTAGACCTCTATCAGCAACAAAGAGCGGCTGCTGAGGAGCAACTCAACCATCTTGAACGAAATGCTTCATTACAAGATATACTCCAAGGTGGAATTTACGACCATGGCATGCTGCCGTTTGAGCGCTCAATGTCACTACCTGTTGGTGCTGCTGGTGTAAACCTGGATGCTATGAATTCTATTGCCCGAGATCATGGTTTAGAAATGCAGGAGCAGATTATGCGACAACTAAAAGGTGGTCAAGGGGTTAGATTCTCATCGGGTGTCTACTCTCAGCATTCACACCAACCTTCAATTTCCAATCAATTTCATGCTCCACATTTGGACACCACTGAGGGTAACTGGTCTGAGAATCATAGTCATTTATCCAATGACTGGATTGAATCAAGAATTGAACAATTACATGATGATAATGAGAGGCATAAAAGGGAATTGGATGTCAAAACGACAATGGAAGATCCGAGTTTATGGATGTCATCTGGAATAAATGATGACAGTTCAAAGCGGCTGCTCATGGAATTATTACTTCAGAAATCAGGCCATCAGTCAGGTGAACCCTTTGATGCAACCGCCAATGAAGTATTCCATGAGATAAGGCCTTCTTCTGGGGCGGGTGCTACATACCATTCGATTAGTCTTCTCTCAGATCTGGAAGCAAGTACCAACAACTTCACTGTTGGGTCTTATGTTTCTGATTTAGGCGGACGATCTCAGGATGAACTAGCTGATGGAATGACCAGTGTAGGTGGATTGGCTTCCAGATCAAAATCTGGAGAATGTTTCATTTCTGGAATTGATGAAAGATCTCAGGTAATCTACAAAAACTCTAGCATGAAATACGTGTTATTTCTTTGAATTAAATTTACTGAATATGGAGGAAATCACCTAAATGCTCATTAGTGAAGACAATGATATTCAGGGACCAGCTTCAATATCTCGAGCTGGCATGGTTGAGCGGGCTGACCTGGCAGCTACAGATAGTGGGGAAGTGCCTGTTAATGTACTTAGTCAACATACTTCACTTCGCTCTACTGGTAACTTTCTGTTATTGGTCGCTTTCTTTTTTTTGTCCCCTCCTCCCGGCTTACCAAAATGATAATGACTAAATTTCTGAACTATGGCCAGGGTTTCATTCAGCCAATTCTTTTTCGGAGGATGCTGCTAAGGATAGGTAAAAACAAGCTTGGTTGCTCTACTACTATGGTTAGAGAAATCCTAGTCATTGAATTCAATTCTTTGCTGCTTTATCAAAGTTCCATGAAAAGTTTATTTTGGTGAAATCATATACTGTAAATTTCTAGAAATGTATTTCCCACTATTGTAGTTAGTAGACTGTTGTCTAGGTGGGAACTATAATTCCCTAATTTACTGCTTTGGAGCATTTTCTAGGAACTTGGTTCTTAACACGTGATGTTTCACTGAAAATTAGTGAATCATATAGGAAGCAGTAGATTTTTCTGCATTCTGTAGTTGCTGAAAGTTTGTTCAGGATTTCTTGTTTTCCTGTTTTTCTTTGTCCATTTTGTTATGTTCTCTATATATCTTTTGAATTAGCATTTCTTAACACTGATGTTCTTATGAGTAGGTTGCAATCTGCCATGTCAAAAATGCTGGAAAACATCTTGCTGAGACGTCCACCTGTCTCACGGGCTGCATCCTCTCAGGGAGGGTTGTCTGAGATGACTGCTGATTCAGTCACCAGAGGAAAGAACATACCAAAAGCTTTACCTACTGATGGTAGGAAAGGAGGTTGTCAATTTTTTGATCTCGTTTTTTTTTTTTTTTTAATAGTACTCGAGCACTTGCTAGTTCCATTTTCTCACGGCTGGGTGGGATGGCGCTTAACTTCCTTGTGGTGAGGATGCTTATCATGTGTGAAATATGATTTCTTGTGCATTGCTGCTTATGTTAAGTTTAGTGATCCACGGTCCACATTTTTTGGCTGTCATGTCAGTTATCAGGTAGGGTGTTTGCCCCATTGGTTGCCTGGAAATTAGTTAATACTTAATATTATGGTTGTGTTTTGTGGAACAGAAGGATTAGCATCTTTAATGATATCAAATTGAAATTGATAATTGCAATAATTTGCGTCTGTTTGTTTAACATGCACATGATTGTATCTGATATCTCACATTAGAGAGTAGAGCATTGATAGAGGAGTTTGTAAATTATATCTCTACTGCTTGCTGCTCCCTCTTGTGTGTGTGCATTTCTAATCATTTACTTAATTTTTTTCTTCCTTTCAGGGATGATAGGAGAAACGGGAGGGAATCCGGGAAATTCTGACAGTGTGTCATCTGGCAAGAAGGCCATGCAGTTTCGACGGACTTCATCTTGTGGTGATGCTGATGTCCTGGAAACCTTGTTCAGTGACGTGCTTAAAAGCGATGCTAAGAAACCGGCTTCTCTAGAAAGTAATGTACCAGCATCTGGAGCTTCAGAGTTATCAGACATGACATTGGGGGCAAAAAGCAGCAAAAAGAAGGGGAAGAAAGGTATACAAATTGATCCTGCTCTTCTAGGATTCAGAGTCACTAGCAATCGGATCCTAATGGGTGAGATACAGCGTCTAGACGATTAATCTCTCCTGTCACCATCATTTGTTGTAGAGGTTTTAGTTTGTATATTTTTTAGCAGGTCAATTCTTTTATTATAGTTTTTGTGGGGTTAACAGATTTATTTATTTTATTTATTTTTATTTATTTTTAAGAGGCATATTTAACATATGACTACTCAATGATTTTGTATAGATTTTATTTTTATTTTTTATTATACGAATAGCAAATCAACAAAGAGTAATGGTACCATGCCAAATCGGTTGTCATTCAGTTTTAAAAGTTTTGGTTAACAGTTATGTGTTTTGTGAGAATACTAGTCTTTGGCTCGTGCGATGCACGAGTTTTGTATAGATTTTGTTATTATTAGTGTGGATTATGTCGAGTATTTAAAAAAAGAAGTATGTTAAGTAGTTGAAAATGAGAAATTGAAGAGAAAGTAATTTCATTGAAAGCTAAAAATTAACCATAAGGTAGACAAAAAATATATACAATATTATGCAAAATGAACTTGGCCTTTTGTTTAAGATAATACTGCTCATTCCATTTTTTATTCTATTTTTTCTTTCATTTTGTCTAGTATAAATGGATTTGAGCTGGCACTTTCTAACTCTGATTGGTAAGTAGCTGATTTGAAAAGAGCTTTTTTGGCTGGAAGGGAGCAACTGTCATCTGCATCTACGTCCATGTTAAAATTGTCCAAATTTTTTTCAGGATTAATATTCTTTTGGCAATCTTGTTCTTCATCTACAATTAAACATTCGACAGAGATGATGTCAAATTTGTAATTGGATGAATTAGGTTCTGTTTGAGTCGTTTTGAGATAGAATGCTTTTTCAGTATTTTGCATTTTTCCAATTATATCTCCAAAATCTGCTTGTGAACCTTGTGTATAAAAAATATGAATGTCATGAAGAAATTTATCAAATATATCAAAAGAGATTGGAGAAGACTGTAAATTATTACAAAGTTTGTACATTTGTGAACATAAATTTTTTTGCAGTTTCACTAATTTCACTTGTATTTATGTATCCTGTGGCATCTGATAATTGGACATATGCTCTTACTCTGAGATAAAGAGAGTAATTATTTATTTATGTAGTAAGAAACTATATGATATATATATATATATAATTAGAAAGGTGTGAAAAAATCTATCTTACCGAGGAACAACTTTGGAATTGGAACTTTTACAGAAAATACAAATATATATTTCACCAAAATCAGGAACTTTTAAATACAAATATATATTTCATCAAAATCAGCGCTTGATCGCCGATAACAATTGCTGCAAGCCATATACCAACATTTTGGATCTATTTTTTCCATTTTTGCAGTGGCGTTCATCCAATAAAATTTTCTCTGAAAAAGGAAATTGTAATTTATAAAGAAACATAAATAGAAATCATAATATATTGTGTACAGAGATATATAAATACCGGTAGAAGTTGACCCTGTAGATTTTGAATTAAGGTGAATTTGTTGCGCACTGGAGGAGACAATTTTGTGGGAGATTTTTGAGTGTATGGCTTTTTCAAAATCAACTCATCGATTTTGTCCAAATTTGTATCTTTCCTGAAAGAAATGAAAGAGTAGATGAGCCAAATAAAACCAAAATAAATGTAAGCCGAAGGATATACATACATACCATTCAACCAATTCTTTTACTGCCATGAAAGGAGTATTCACGAAAAATGTACTACGAACTTTTGTGGAGAGTTTTAAACCTACACAATTCATTGATACAAGATAAGAAATGCAATTTTAAGTAGAGTTTAAATAAGAAAAAATAATAGAAATTTACCCAAAAAAAAGGTGACTTTTAGGTTTGTTGCAAAGATTACTGATTTTTTGTCAATATTTTCTAAGAATAATTTGTATTCTCTGTCAACAAAAGAATTCCACATTGTTAACATCATTGTTCTGAATTTTTGGTCCAGAAGTATTATATTTTGTACCCAAGTTTGGTTGCCATCTTTTGATTGAATCAATCGTTTAGACATCATATCAATCAGAATGGCCAAAATGTCTGCAAAAAAAAAAAAAAATATATATATATATATATATATATTTTTTTTTTGTGTTGACTGTAATTATAATTATTTGATTAAATTATATATAATAGTATTATTTATTTTGAAAATAAAGATGGAATTTCTTACTTATATCAGTGTTTGTATCCATGAATTGCTCAACTTCATCGAAAGAAGTTAGGTGATAGGTGGAAAAAACAAGTTCTAAGTTATTGTCATTCAACTCTTCAACACGAGTTTGTCCAGAAATCGTCCATTGTAGAGCTCCTGTTGAATATTTGTAGTTTCCAGTGTTGTTTTTAATATAAGCTTTAGAAATTGCATACGTCTTTCCAAGGAGAAATTGATTTTCGAAGGCAGTGATATTTGAATCATACAGACTTGCTTGGATAGTGTTACACTGATAGATAAAAAGATAAAAATTGATTAGTGTAAGATTTTATATATATATATATATACACACACCTTTATCAGTATATTTATTGGGTTTGCATATTAAAATAGCTCCCCATCCTGTCATACTTCCATCTGTTTCTATAATTAAGTATTCTGAATCTAAAGGCATAGCTAATTCTGGCAGGGTTTTTATTTTTTCTTTTATTTGTTGGACTAATTTTATATCTTCTTGATTAAAAAATCTTTGTCCTGTAGGAGATGTCTTTGCATATAAAGGTCCTACTATTTTTTCCAAATCTTTTATAAATGGTCTAGCATAATTTACCAATCCTAGAAATTTTTGTTACTTGTAAAATAGCAAATAAATAGTCTAAAGATTTATATTTTTCAAAAGAAATTAATTCTATACCGTATTCAAAAATCTCTTCAATTTCTTTATAAAATATAAAACTATAGAATATTTTTTCTAAATCTACAAGTATATATATATATATATATATATATATATAATTTTAATAATAATAAAAGAGAGAAAACATATTTGTTTTGAAAAAGGAAAAATAATACTAAATCATTGTATAACTTACGTCAGTATCCATTAGTATTATGTGTTGATATCTTTCATTGCCTTGTTTTGAAGGTTTTGATGATTGTTTCTCTACAATAATTACTTTGGCTTTCCATTTTTGGTTGTTGGATAGAATTTCTGGTATAAGTTGGTATTTTTCTTCCATTGACAATATTTTTTTATAAATAGGATGAAGACAAAGAGGAACATTTGGAGATTTTTTTTTTTTGATGAGATGAGATAACCAATCCAAATAGAAGAACATATATATAGACATCTAGAGTTATATCATTTATATTTTTTATTTGGATATTTATTGTAAAATCTAATTCATAGCCATACCTGATATGGGAATGACTTGTAAATTGGGGAATTTCTTTTGATGATGAGATAACCAATCGAAAATAGAAGAAGATATCTATATTTTTTATATTATTATATCTACCAGTAGTAATATATTGTAAAATCTAATCTATAGCCATACTTGATATGGAGATTACTTGTAAACTGGTATAGAGATTACTTGTAAAGTTGTAGTGCTCATGAGATGAACTCAATTAATTATTAGAAGTATCTAACAATGTGTAAAATGTCATCGTGTTAGAGTAACTCAATGGCTTGTGCATGGGGATGACTTGTAAATTGGGGGATTTCTTTTGATGATGAGATACCCAATCGAAAATAGATGAAGATATCTATATTTTTTTAAATTATTATATCTACCAGTAGTAATATAATGTAAAATCTAATCTATAGTCATACCTGATATGGAGATAACTTGTAAACTGGTATAGGGATTACTTGTAAAGTTGTAGTACTTATGAGATGAACTCAATTAATTATTAAAAGTATCTGACAGTGTGAAAAATTTCATCATGTTAGAATAACTCAATAGTTTGTGTAAATCGGTTTTATACCCTGCATACTTTATACTGAGTAAACTGTGTAAAAAGATAATGAGTGATACGATGAGAAAGAGTTTTGAGAAAAGATATTGATGATATATTTTGTGACAAATTTGATAAAATTAGTTTTTAGTTTATTTTAATTTGAATGAGCATGTTAAACAAAAAAAAAAGGAGAATTTATTTCCTACAATTATTATCCCAACTAACTCACATAACAACAAAATAACATTCCTACAATTATTATCTTCATTTATTGTTTCAACTACTAAAAGTTTAAAGTTTAAAGTCACGAGAATTCATATTCACATGTGAAGAATCTTATACCATTTATCTTATCAATCATACTAACTTTTTACCCATTCTACAATTCTACACATTTTTGCAAGAGAGAGAGTTTTCAAAGTAGAGAGCAGAGAGAAACATTTTAGTTGGTTGAAAAGTAAGATTTTTATTGTTGAATAAAATGTTGTCCGGCATCACGGAGAGGCTGCGTCTCGTGCACGGAGAAAGGACCTCTCCATGCACAGAGAGGACCTCCCTCTCCGCACGGAGAGAGGACCTTTCCGTGGACGGAGAGAGGACCTCTCCTGTGCAGGAGAGTGCGCCTCTCCGTGCATGGAGAGGCGCATTGAGAAATGGTTATAGGGAGAGACTCTCCGTGTGCGCCTCTTATATGGAAAAATGTTTAATGCCAAAAAACATATTGCTACTGTGATTCAAGTTAACTCTGTATACTTCCGCATCATGTATCTGTTTTAAGAATAGAAGAATGCAGGGCATGTTTCCCCCATAATTATGTGAATTCATTACCTATTAATTTGATCATTAGTGTTCATTTGCGATATGAAGTTTCTAATTATAGTTTTTAACTAACAATATCAAATAAACAAGCTAATTATCAAGCAAATTCATACATTTGTTCTTTCAACTATCTCAATATTTTTAAGCCAACATCCTTATCATTTGGGATGCGTTGAGTCTATTAAAATCAAGGCATAGAAGGGAAATAACAGAGAGAAGTATTCCTAGCTACACAAAAAATAGATGACAGTTTATTAGAAAATCAAGCCAAGAACTTATGCAGCAAAGTATCTTCTATACTCAGAAATATGTTATACATTTTTGTGAAGACCTAAATATCATTATAGAAAATCTTTAACAATTCAGTTATTGACACGACTAAATCAAGGCTTAAACCCTCATAAGCTTTGAGTTTCCTAGTGAACATTGCACAAGGAATGTCTGAAAG